TTCTCCTACGTAGCCATGATGTTGTGATTGCTGCAGAATGTGGTCTGGCATTATCGTGTTGAAAAATGCAGGGTCTTCCCTGAAAGAGATGACGTCTAGATGGGAGCATATGTTGTTCTAGAACCTGAACATAGTTCTCTGCATTAATGGTGCCTTTCCAGACATGCAAGCTGCCCATGCCACAAGCGCTCATGCAACCCCATACCATCAGTGATGCAGGCTTCTGAACGGAGCGTTGATAACAACTTGGGCTATCCTTGTCCTCTCTGGTTTGGATGACATGGCGTCCCAGTGTTCCATATAGAACTTCAAATTGTGACTCATCTGACCACAGAACAGTCTTCCATTTTGCCACACTCCATTTTAAATGACCCCTGGCCCAGTGCAAACTTCTGAGCTTGTGGAGCTTGCTTAGAAATGGCTTCCTCTTTGCACTGTAGAGTTTCAGCTGGCAACGGCGGATGGCACGGTGGATTGTGTTCACTGACAATTCTTTCTGGAAGTATTCCTGAGCCCATTCTGTTATTTCCTTGACAGTCGCATTCCTGTTTGAGGTGCAGTGATGTTTAAGGGCACGGAGATCACGAGCATCCAGTAGAGTTTTACGGCCTTGACCCTTACGCGCAGCGATTGTTCCAGATTCTCTGAATCTTTTGATGATGTTATGCACGGTTGATGATGATAACTTAAAAGTCTTTGCTATTTTATGCTGGGTAACACCATTCTAGTATTGCTGCACTATCTTTCTGTGCAACAATGGTGGAATTGGTGATCCTCTTACCATCTTGGCTTCTGAGAGACACTGACACTCTGAGAAGCCCTTTTTATACCCAATCATGTTGTCAATTGACCTAATTAGTGTTAATTGGTCTTCCAGCTGTTTGTTATATGCTCAATTTTCTTTTTCCAGCCACTTATTGCTACTTGTCCCAACTTTTTTGGGATTTGTTGACACTGTGAAATTTTGAATCAACATATTTTTCCTTTAAAATGTTACATTTCCTCAGATTAAACTTTTGATCTGTCATCTATGTTATATTACAAATAAAATATTGACATTTGCCATCTCCACATCATTGCATTCAGTTTTTATTCACAATTTGTTTATTGTCCCAACTTTTTTGGAATCCGGTTTGTATTACAATGGATAAGTTAATTTTATTATTTTATTTTCAACTAAATGTTTTCCACTTTGTTGGTTTTAAATTTTGGTTTAAACCTGAATTCATAAAGCAAACTGCATATATTTTGTTTGCAGTGATTGGAACAGATTTCACTTCGACTCTTGACATTAAAAGTTAACTTTTCTTTTCTTTTCACATACTAACTAACTGTGGCCTTATGTATTCATCTATTTGTTTGTTTCAGAAAGCTATTGCTTTAGCACAGAAAGCCTCGCAGGAGGACCAGGCTGGAAATTATGAAGAAGCCATCCAGTCTTATCAGCATGCCGTCAAGTATTTTCTCCATATTTTGAAACGTGCGTCGCCATGGTGGTATACACATCCCACATAATGTCACACTAATGTTACCTTCGACTGCCAGTTCTCACTGAACACTCTGTATTTACATAAAACTGCTCAACCCTTTTAAAGATTGTTTGTATGAGACAGTTTGCATATAAATTGTGTTTTCATAGGAGATATAACATATGGTGACTAACTTTTCTTCCACCTTCCATTAGGTGAACCACAAGGTAAAGATGGCAACCAGAAGATTAGAGATAAATGTAAACAGTATCTGGACAGAGCGGAAGAACTACAGGAATACCTAGTAAACAAAGAGGTCATTAAGAAATTACTTATTTGTTCTGTTAACGTAAGCAACGATGTCTGGGATAATAATAAAAGAGCATTGTCACAGCAGTGCCGACGCTTCAAGAGGAAAGCTGCTACAAGATAAATGCCAAACAAATAATGGCTTATATTTAATTTTTTAAAAAGTGCTACAAGGTTTGAAGTTAACTTACAGTTCTTTCACTGAATGAATATGATTCACTATAGCCTTTACAGTATCGTGTGAGAGTTTTAACCTCTCATTTTTAAAGAAAAAATTTAAAGACCTTCAGGGAGCTGAAATAATTATTAAGACCACTTCACAAATTGACATAAAGTCTGGCTCTTAAAGGGAAAATCAAGTTAAAATGTAGGATTTGCACAAAAGGCTCCCAAAGAAATGTATTTTACGATTTAGTTTAAACCAAACTGACTGTAATTAAAGTGCGAGCTGGTAATTTATATTTATTTTCTAGTTTTAAACTGAGAGGCCAGGAGCTCGTTTTGAGTTGATTTTTTTTTTTTTTTAAAGACAAGCTGTTCCGCAGAAGACGTGACGTTGCTACGTCATGACGTCATCACATTCCGTGCACGCGAGTATCGACTTTTTAATGCGGAAGTTGTTTTCTCGATCCGACTCTGGTGCGATCTGAAAAACGAAAACAAGTTGACCAGAAAGCCTCTGATTTTGAGGTTAACAATTTGCGTTGACAAGGATTTTATTTAAAAGTCTTTTTGCCACGGAGGCGTTAAATTTGTTTTGGCTTTTGAACGACTTATTTAGCCCTTATGGCCAACAATAATTTACAGGTAAGCGAAGGACCAGCCCTTGTTGAGCTGGCTAAACGCTTTGACAAGGCAGGACAAAAAGTTATTTTACGCCATAAGGAAAAGTAGTTAAATTATTCTGTGTAATCTAAGTTAAATATACAGTGTGAGTTTTATGGTTTGTGTTCGGTATAAGAGCTTTAAATGGTGTTTCAAACCGTATCGTTGTATAACAATAGCAGCTAATTAGCATAGTAAGCTAATTCGACATTCATGGGTGTTTTTTTAATAAAGTTGTTCGTCTTTTCGTGGTATTTGTGATTGCTACTCTATATATTTATTATTTTCTACTTCAGTGATAGATGGACATCTACTAAGAGCAGACTTCCGAGCTAGCTGGTCTTTTTGAGGCCTTTCAAAACAAAAGTTGCATCGCTCTTGTTGCTTGTAGCTCTAATGGTTTGCTAGTTTGACAGCTAAGCGACCATAAATAGGAAGTGAAAGAAAATGTTGGGAAAGTTAGGTTCAGGGTTTTATCATGGTGTAAGTAAGGTGTCTAAACAAAACCAGTAGCAGTAGTTCCAAAGGGGTGGTTTACCAATTACATTTTAAGAGTTATCACTAAATGTTTGGGAAATCACTTCAACATTATGTTAAGACACATCTTCACCTTTCTATATTACATGGAATGCAAAACATGAAGACCTCAGATATTGAATCACACTTAATCTGTTCATTACCTTACTTTTGCTCAGATGTTTGGGTAAATTCAAACAAGAGTGTCAGAAAGCTTTTTTTTTGCCCACTACAAACAAAACATTAGCTAAGAAACCTACTGTGCACTTACAGCTTAATCCTTAATATATTTATGTACACTAAAGTTTACAGAATCAGTACATTTTTATGTTGCTCTAATAATGTTAAGGTTAAAAAAGCACATTTAGTTACAGATCAGGAAACAGAGAGGACTTGTTTATAAATTAAAATTTAGAACTGATTTATCAAAACAATGTCAATTATACGAGTTAATTTGCTAAACTCTTTTGAACTCGTATGTAAAACTCTGCATGAATTCTAAATGTTATTAACAGGCGTGAGCTACAAATATTAAATGTTAGATATGTGTTTATTTGTATGTTAATGTTATATATGTAAATTAATTCTTGTTTTCCAGAAAATCAGTGCATAGTTTTGTGAATCTGCACAACTGTAGATGATGCAAAGGCAATAGTTAAAATAAAACCTTTTCTGTCAGTTTAGGCAGAGATGTATGGTAATTACTGTATTATTGACACTAAAATTATTGCATTTAGTTTTATATGTACGTTCAAATTATTATTTTTTCATGTGTGCATAGTTCAAATGTTTTAATGGCAGAAACTTTTAATAAAAAAAAGTTTTGAATTAGCTATAAATTAGTCATATCTTTACATTTCTTGTCTTGATTTTGAGGTTGTAAGAAAAGTTCATGTGTAACAACACAAACAATCATTGCGACTGCCTACATTTCTCACAGTTCTTTCTTTAAAACATTTCTTGCAGGTTTGTGTATGACACATGGTTCTTTTGTCTGTGTTATTTCAGAAAGCCATTGATCTTGCTAGCAAGGCGGCTCTGGAGGATAAAGCTCAGAACTATGAGGAGGCTCTCCGACTCTATCAGGCTTCTGTTCAGTACTTTCTTCATGTGGTAAAATGTAAGCCAACAGACAGCACGGTGTATGGTGTGGCGTGTAAAATGATCACAGCAGTTTGTCACTTCAGGAATTCCAAGTTGTGTATTGGCTGCTATCTATTTAAAGCTATTGATCTTTTATTGTCCTCATGTTGTTCTGTCAACTTTTTTTAATTGTAAGCTTGAAAAAAACACCTGATGACATTCACAGTAGTTTAATTTTTTTATAATTCTTGTTTTTAGACGCACAGTGAAGAGTAGAGCCTCATTTTAGAACACAAATTAATTTTTTTTCATTTGTTTTGTGTGTGTGCTTTGTTTGATCTGCTTACAGACGAAGCTCAGGGTGACAAAGCGAAACAGAGCATTCGTGCAAAATGTGCTGAATACTTGGACAGAGCAGAGAAGCTAAAGGAGTATCTGAAGAAAAAAGAGAAAGCTCCTCCTGCTAAACCTGTCAAAGAGTCACAGGCTGATGACAAAGGGTGTGTTCATGGGTGGGACTGATGGTTAGCTCTTCAGATGTGACGTCATTCCCATATGGCTGGGGGAAAAAAAAACATTTTACCCCTTGTTGAGTGTGAAAATGTATTTAGACCAAATGTAAAATGCATATAAAAGTTGTAAATACTCACATTGCTGTGTTTAGGAATGAAAGTGATGAAGGTGATGATCCAGAGAAAAAGAAGTTTCAAAATCAACTCTCAGGTTAGTCATATTTTTAATTCTTATTAAACCTGCCACAGGAACATCTGTTTTTAGTCAAATTACATGTCTAAATAAGGATTTTAATTACTGGTACACGTAAATACACTCTGTGTGACCATTGAAATGCCTTTTCAGGTGCAATTGTCATGGAGAAACCAAATATCAAATGGAACGATGTCGCTGGTTTAGAGGGGGCCAAAGAGGCACTGAAAGAGGCTGTTATTCTTCCTATCAAATTCCCCCACCTTTTCACAGGTTTTATCTGATATGCTATGACTTAACATTATTATTATTATACTGTTAATTGATAAAACCAAATATTATTGCAGTCCATAGTGTTTTGATGACTTTTATAAATTCTTCTTTTTTTGCCTTATTGACAGGAAAGAGAACTCCGTGGAGAGGGATTTTGCTTTTTGGACCTCCAGGTACAGGGAAGTCCTACCTGGCTAAAGCTGTTGCAACAGAAGCAAACAACTCGACCTTTTTTTCGATCTCTTCATCTGATCTCGTCTCCAAATGGCTGGGAGAGAGTGAAAAGTGAGTCATGGACACAAAACTGTAGTATTCTGATAAATAGTTTAAATAAACATCTAATATAATAACCTAATTCACCTTCCAGAAGCTGGTGTTTTATTTGTCTGCCGTCATTTTGGTTCACAGATTGGTAAAGAATCTTTTCAGCCTTGCAAGAGAGCATAAGCCTTCGATCATCTTCATCGATGAGATCGACTCCCTGTGCGGCTCAAGAAGCGAGAACGAAAGTGAAGCTGCCCGTCGTATTAAAACAGAGTTCCTGGTTCAGATGCAAGGTGAGCCTGTTGAAATGGTTACAAGTAGTTCCTGAACAATGTTCTGTAATTGAGGTAAAAAATCAAAATCTGGCAACATTTCAAGTGTTTTAAGGACATTTCTTTCTGTTATTGTGCCATTGCTGTAAGGCAGAGGCACAGAAGGATAAAAAAATTAGAATTGTGCTCAGTCCCCATCTCATTTAATGAAGCATACATGACCAAAATAAAACCTCAACTGTAGGAAGCGTTCAGGTGCAACTTAAAGTTAACAGATTTAGTTAAACTGAGATGACTGAGACTGAAAGTAGGAAATGGAACATTAGGATCACATGAAAAATCAGAAATGCTCAGTTCTGCAAGCCTGAAATCAAAGAACTCAAATGTATAACTTTGCAAACAGAGCTGTTCTGGGGTAAAATGTATTTCAGTATACTGGTTCTCATCGTAGTTCAGAGATGGAAATAATAAAGAACTGTTGACGTTTTCAGGCTCTGAGAGTGGACACAATCAAAACACTTAAAAATTCTTAAATAATTAGAAAGTTTACATTAACAAAAGGATGAATGACTAAAGGAGCACTTTTCAACAACTTTAAAAGCTAGATTACTTGTCTGTTGTGCTCACTGGCTGTTGAAAAATATTATTTATGATTTACTAATAGGACTTAATACTAAGGACAAAACAAACCTGACGAGGCATCGGGCTAAATTTAATCTGTGCTCTCAGCATGGTGGTTCTGGTGAGACCCTTAAAACAGATGCCTGCAAAGAGCATTTAACTTGCTGTTTAAATATTATAGCTTTTTATTATAATTTATTTACTGGTAGCTGAAATAATTTCTAGGTTAGGTCTGTCCAACCTGATATTGGACAAGAAGGTTGTGACACCTGGACAGTCCAATATATCCCATCTTATTTTCTCATTTGAACTGTTTGTCATAGAAAGCTGTGTGATTGCAACTTTGTTTTAATAGAAACTACTGAAAGTTGTATTAAATTAAAATGACCTTATTGCTTGCCATCATGATTGTGTAATTATTTAAGGTGTGGGGAACGACAACGAGGGAGTGCTAGTTCTTGGGGCAACAAACATTCCTTGGACCCTCGACTCTGCCATCAGAAGAAGGTAAAAGTTATAAGACATGCTTTAAAGTTATCCAGGTATCATTCAGCAGTTCTAAATGTCGTCAAATCCTATTTCAGGTTTGAGAAGAGGATCTACATCCCCCTGCCTGAAGAGCACGCTCGTTCCTTCATGTTCAAGCTCAATCTGGGCTCCACCCCCAACAGCCTCACCGACTCCGACTTCATCACCCTGGGCAAGAAGACATACGGGTACTCAGGAGCAGATATCAGCATTATTGTCAGAGACGCTCTGATGCAGCCAGTTCGGAAGGTCCAGTCAGCAACACACTTCAAACGGGTACGTCTTTATAAAACACCTCTGTGTTTAAAAAAAAAAGTATAAAATGGGTTTTAATAAGTGCTCTCTTGTGTTTTGTTTTTAAAAGGTACGAGGTCCATCAAGAACGGACCCCGACCTTGTTCTTGATGACCTCTTGACTCCGTGCTCACCTGGAGATCCCAATGCAGTGGAAATGACCTGGATGGAAGTCCCTGGTGAGAAACTATTGGAACCAGTGGTGTCCATGGTGAGTACAAATACACAGCATTGACATGGATGATTCAGTCATTTGATTTGTATTTGAATAGATGTGGTAGAATACTACTCCACTCAGGACATGAAAAATTTGGTGCAATTTAATGTCATCCTAATGGTTTTTTTTGCTTATTTATATTCTTTTCACATTAAAACAAGCCTGTACACACATAAATATATAAATAAAAGACCTGGACTCATATTTACGTAGTATAAATTGATAAAGTTGGAGTTATGGTTCTTTATTCTTCTTTGGAGCTGACTTGAATATTTTCGTTGAGGTTTGAGGCTCATTTGTAGTGACGAACAGTTAAGTTTGTAATAAAATACGTACAGTAAACCTAATTCCTGCCCAGCCCTCTAGTGGAGACCCTCTCTTACAGCGAGTTGGGACTTGCATTGGGGAGTGTGCTATTGCCCCATCACCTAGTTTATGGTGCATTAAGAGCAATTTAAGGAACAGCGTATTGATGTATTTGTAACATCTGTTATCAGACTGATTTGTTTTGCTTCCTTTTGCCTAGGCTGACATGCTGAGGTCTCTGGCCAACACGAAGCCAACAGTCAACGAGCAAGATTTAGAGAAACTGAAAAAGTTCACGCAAGACTTTGGACAGGAGGGCTAGACTGGTTGATGAAGTCAAACCAAAGTGAAAGAATTGTGATTGTCTCTTTACTGTCATTGTCACTTTTGTTTGCTCTCCCTGTCTCATCCTAGCCTTTCACTAAGCCTCTTGGATTTTATTAATGGACAAGATCCGGTTTGCCAGTTTGACCACAAAAGTGTCCCAGGCTTTACTTCATATTCACTATTGTCCAAAGATTTAATAACTTGCCATGTACAACTGTCATGTTTAAAATCAACACCGCATTCAGAAGTTACAAATTTAGTTTAATCCAAGCACCAAACAATAATTATTTATGAAAATAGTCTGGTTGGTTAGAGAAAATGACACAGTTACTGCATGTTAACTACTTTTAAGTTGCAACTCGTCCTTGTGTTTTTGCTTTCCAGAGTATATCCAACTGGATTAATAAATGTTCTCCTCAACATATTCTCTATTTTTGTGAAAGTAAAACAAGCATTTTATAGCCTGTACATGTACTTAACAAATTGTATAAACCTCACTCAGTGCAAGTTGGATCACTTAAATTCACAGATATCTATGAGGTTAAATGTCCTGATTGGAGTTTTAGTGCTCTGGGGTGGATACAAAAGCTTAGCTGCAGATTTCACTTGTATATTTGGTTACCAAACAAATTAGTTGCAGGCCTATACGCAGTCTTTATGATTTAAAGCAAAACGGCTCCCAAGGAAGAATCGCCAGTGTTTGCAAACCAGCATTGCTTTACCATTTCTCAAGAACTTGATGGCTTTAAGTTATTTTTGCCTTCTGTTGTTTTTCCATAATTTACTGTACGTATTCATTCATACCTAAAGGCTGTGCTTGGTTATTTTTACTGCAAAAAACCTAAGCCTTACTTTAATAAAAAGTGATCTGTTTGCTTGAATAAAGTGGGGTTAAGGGGTGAAAGTGACGACGGCTCAGATGGAGAGATCATCGTCTGTTCTTACAGTAAAAACTGCTTGAACCTTTAGTAGCCATAAGTGGCAGTGTGCACCAATGTGCCTTCTAGAAAAGCTGCATGATTTTTTTATTGGTTTATTTCTAAACTAGTCATACTTCTAATATATATCAAGTGCGCTGTCACTACAATTAAGGAATGTACAGTACTTGTACATTTCATGTAAGTTCTTTTAAAGATTGTATACGACTGTATTCTGTTGCTCTTAAGAAGTGCAAACTGTGTCCTGTGGTGTCTTTTTTAAGGGGATTGTCTTGTTTTACAGCAGATGCCTATACACTTATGTAACCAACTCTTAAGCCTTTTTCTTTGAGAAGAGGTAACCCATGGATTTGATTTTCTGTTTTTCATTACGTCAGTGTAAATAAAAGTTAAAACTATAGTATGACAATTCTCTTTTGTTGATTTTTGTTTGTTTTGCTTATTGTAACATTTCATATTATTTGTAATTGTGGACTGTTTCTTTCAGTCATAATTTGACAAAAAATAAATAAATATTGAGCAGAGATTTTAAAAATCCTGGGGATTTGACCCACAATGAGGAAAAAATTATGTTGAATATGCAGTGCAAGAAAAAAAATGTCAAGATTTTTCATCAATCATGCAAAGATAACGGTGTAAGTTTTTGATATAGTTTTATTATGTACTGAGGATATTTTTCTTTGTAAATCTTGGCAGCCAAAAACGTTTCCTGGGGAGTCTGGTCTTGTTAATTTAATTAACAGATTAATTTTAGTATGTCAGAATTCTAAGATTAAAGTAAAGTCTAAGAAAAATCTCACTCGCATAATTCTGAGGATAGGCCAGAATTACAAAAAATATAAATGCCAGAAAATTCCTTCATGTCCCTTTTATGTACAAAAATATTGTTGTTGTTGGCGTCAAAGCTCAAAAAGCGCCCTCTGGTGTCAAATTAAAGTTCAAAGTTCTTTAGTAACGCTTTGCATTGTGGGATTTGTAGTTGACTCACGTCTGCGCAGCGTTCCGTTCTCTGAATCCACCCTCTCTGAGAACTACAAGTTCCAGGCAGGGCCGTTACGCGACCGTTTACAGTAGTCCGCTCAGTTTGTTTTAGTTTCTACAGACGCCGCTTTGTCACGAGGCGCCAAAAGTCCAGCTCGGAACGATAACCCGACCGTTGTACGCCTTTGACTAACTGCCAAAACCTGCAGCAACTCCTCCTGTGAGGCTTGCGTTCCTCCGCGCCCCCCACCGGGGCCGTCCGTTCGCCTACCTCGCTCCTATCTCTAGATATCGGACTCGAGATACTGGCCTGCTAGTTGTTAGCAGCAAGCTAAAGGCTTCCCCCATGTCCTCTGAAGAAGGGTTCAGCTCAACGATAACAGACTGGCTTTTCGTCAACTCCTGGTGGCTCCTTCTGCCGTTCATCATGCTTCTTGTGGTCGCTGCCCTCGTCGTTGCCTTCGTGTTGTTGCTCTACATGATATCGCCCCTCATCAGTCCGAAGCCTCTGAAACTAAACGGGGCCCACGTCGTGGTAAGCACCGCGGTGCTCCTTAGCTGAAGTCTGTTCAAGCGTCAGGACAATTGAACTCCTAAAAACTGATGTTATGGTCACGCTTCTCCATTTAAGTCAACTTTTTGACAGAATTAAAAACCTGTAATTTATGTGTGGTTCCGCCCCGCTGCCCTACTTTGGTTATTAGCCTGGAAGGTGAAGCATTTTTATTTAAATTTCACTAAAGACGTCTAAACATCTGCAGCTCCTCCATCTGGCTTGATTAAATTAATTTCTACTAAATTTTCTGCTTTTGAATTTAGACAAGACTGATGTTTTGGTCTTTGGACCTGAGCATTTCAGTTTTTGACCTCCTTAATGGCATTAATCTGACCTCCAGCTCTAATGTTAAAAATCTTGGTGTTATTTTGGATCAGGACATGTCTTTTATCCTCCACATTAAAAATGTTCCTAGAACCACCTTCTTCCACCTGCGTAATCTCACTAAAATTAGAAACATTAGAGTCAGAGTCTTAACTGGAGTTAGTGGGAGAGATCATATCTCTCCAGTTTTAAGTCCAAAATTGAATTCAAAATCTTCTAATCTACAAAGCTCTCAACAACCTAGCTCCATCTTATATTCGAGATCTTATTGTTCCATATTTTCCTAACAGAGCACTTTGCTCTCAGACTGCGGGTTTACTTGTGATTCCTAGATTTTCCAAAAGCAGAATGTGAGGAAGATGTTTCAGTTATCAGGCTCCTCTCTTGTGGAACCAACTTCAAGTATGAGACAGTATAATAAATGACAATCTCATTCTTGGAGTTTATACTAATAGTAGGAGGTATACTGTGATTGGTTAATCCTCAGTAGCTTAATTCATCACCCTCGGTGTCATAAAGCTGACGCAATATTTAAAATTGCTCTTACTATTAAGCCGTTCACTTTGGAAAATTAGACGTATTCTATTTCTACTTATTAGCATTTGTAGGAAATGAGTTCAAATATTTTGTATTTCTGTTCTAATTACTCCTTTTTTCTGTGTGAGTTGGGTGTGAGCTGCTCCATGCTTGACCTTTGACTCTTGCACTCATTATTTATCCCTCTGATGTCCAGGTAACTGGGGGCTCCAGCGGCATCGGGAAATGCATTGCGATCGAGTGCTACAGACAAGGAGCGTTCATTACTCTGGTGGCGCGAGACGAGGTCAGGACACACTTTTAACCTGTCGTTCCATTCTGTCACAGGCTGTTGTTATAGTCGACCTTTATCCTGATGTGGAAATAAAGGTAAATTTATTCTGAGTCAGGTGGACAGCGGCCTTATGCTCCTGAACAATTTTTCTTTTATTTTACATGCATCACGGCCTAATAGCTGTCGTTTTACTTATTTGATAGTAACTAAACATCAGTGGTATTTCAGGTTCATTCACAAGATTTTATACATATGCTTATAAAAAAAAAAAAACATTTCTAATTTTCTTTAGGAGAAGTTACTCAGAGCGAAGAAAGATGTGGAGAAATTTGCCATCAATGACAAACAGGTATATATAGTTTTTTTTTATTTTTTTTTTTATACATTATTATATTTAGATTTTAGTCATTGCTCATTTAGAGCATAAGAACTGATGGGACCTGAATTTGTTTGTTAAGGTGGTGCTCTGTGTGTCTGTGGATGTTTCCAGTGACTACACTCAGGTGGAAAATGTGATAAAGCAGGTACTTTCTGCGTCGCCATGGGACATATCAGGTTACTTTAATAAATGACTGATGTGGTGTTAAAACGGTTTGATTGTTCATGCAGGCTCAAGAGAAGCTTGGGCCTGTTGATATGCTTGTTAACTGCGCTGGAACGGCCATTTCTGGAAAGTTTGAGGAAGTGGAAGTGGAGCGTTTTAAAGTAAGTACTTCTGACCCTCTGTTCAGAAAAAATAAAGGCTTTTTTTTTTTTTTTTTTTTACATCAACCATGTGGTTTTAAAAAGGCTTCCAGCCGAAAATTTGGACACATTAAATATTGTGTTTTTAAAACTTATAAAAACTTTGACAAACGGTTGACAAAAACCTTTATCTGAAAGTTATTTCCTTGAGAAATCCAGATGCAGTGACACGCAACCTGATAGGTCCATTTGGTCCTTCAAAAGGCTGTTTGCTAAAACTTATCAGAAATAATCTGTTAAAGGAGATAAATAAGGACAAAAGGCTCAGATGAGATAAACGAAAATACAAGGACAGGACATCAAAATCTGTGGCAACTTTTCCTAGAGGGAGATAAAGGTTGAAGTTTTTGACTCCAAAAATCAGACTGTATAGAAGTTAGGAGAGGTAATGGTGAGGAAAAATAAGATTTGATGATGTAAATGCAGCAGAGTTGTCAGAAAAACATCTAAGTTAAGCTGTCCTTCAGTGGAGACTGGTCCTTGTGTGACAAAAATGTTCTTGGTAAACTCTGTAAGAGCTTTTGATTCAAGATTCTTTGTCATTCCACCACATGTGGTACATGTGGGTGGAATGAAATTGTGTACACAGGGTCCCAGTTGCATCCAACAAAAGTATTACAGTGTAAAAGAAAAACAGTAATAAGATCGAAGATATGAACTAAGAAAATCGTTAACTAAAAATACACTAAGCTCTTGTAGTATAAAAACAATACGCAGAACAGCAGCACGGACATGAGTCTGTGTGAGCAGATGAATATGAATGAACACAGCAACATGAAATAGATCAGCAGCAACATGAAATGGATCAGCAGCAACATGATGTGATTTTTCACAGTGATTGTCCTGGTTAGAGATTCATTTTGTTCATCTTTACAGCAGACAATCAGCTCCCTTAAATTGTCTCTTTCTGGTGTTGCTCCTCATCATTTCTTTAGTAAACAACTAGCTGGGGGTTTTCCTCTTACTTTCTATCTGTTGTAACTGCAGACGTTTGTTTACAGCGCTTGATGAAACACAGTGGAGGCTCTGTCATGGTTTGGGCCTGCTGGGGATGTTGTCAGTACCAACTTTGTCGAGTATCAACATGAAACGTATTACAAGCAAAGAAAGCGTCGATGACGTTTGTTCCTCGTGGTCTAACAAAGTTTGGAAATGGTGTCGATTCTTAATCATTAAAATTCCTCCTGAAAAAAAAAACCATCTTTATTTTATGCTGCTTATGAATATTTCCCAATTGCATTTAATTTAATTTTAAATGAAAGTTTAACTCGAGGGTTTGTCATCCATCAAAACCAAACGTGGAGATATTTAGTGTCTAAAAGCACAGAGCTTCCACTGAAAATCATGACATGCACGACTGGTGGGGGAGCACGTAACAAGTAAACAATCTCTACGTTTCTTTTTTTACTCCACCAGTTTGTCTGCTACTAACCAAAACTGTTACAGTATTTTGTTTATTAAATGTGCGTCTGTTTGACTGAACTATTACCAAAAGTGAACTTTGAGCTTCTGCTCTACAGGAAATGATAGAGGTGAACTACCTGGGCAGTGTTTATCCCACGCGTGCCGTCATCACCACCATGAAGGAGCGAAGAATGGGCCGCATCATGTTCGTGTCCTCCCAGGCGGGTCAGCTCGGCCTGTTCGGATACACTGCCTACTCCCCGTCCAAGTTCGCTCTGCGAGGCTTGGCAGAAGCGCTGCAGATGGAGGTTTGCGTCTCCTTTTTGTCGGTTTCATTTGAGCTATTCACACCAAACGCACAGCATCTCCAGTTCTCCACAAAAATGCTTGAATATTTTTCCCAAGTAATTAAATTTTATGTTACGTTTACGTGTTTTTGCGCATCGCAAGCTTGTTGTTGCACTAAGTGTTCACTTTTGGTGGTTGTTGTAGATCTAGACCAAACGGTTAAAGTTTTCTTTGTTTGTGTGGTATTTCCAGATAAAGCCGTATAATATCTATGTAACGATGGCGTTTCCTCCTGACACCGATACCCCGCTCTTCGCTGAAGAGAACAAGTCAAAGGTTAGTGTTAAACTTTGCAAACTGTGTTTTTTTATTGATGTTTCCTAATTTCCTTTCATCTTGTCATTGAAAGTAGACCGTTATCCCAGTTTGCGTTTTCACTCTTTGTCCTTCTCAGCCTTTAGAGACCAAATTAATCTGTGAAACCTCTGGAGTTTGGCAACCAGACCAAGTGGCCAAAATCGTTGTCAAGGATGCAGTGGTGAGAGGATCGACCAGCTACCACCGACATTATTTTAAAGACGCATCAGACATGTTTGAGCAAAACAGTCAGGTTTTCCTTTGCTTTTTGTTTTTTATTGCAGCAAGGGAACTTCAACAGCTCGGTCGGTCCTGATGGTTACATGCTATCAGCCCTCACCTGTGGAATGTCACCGGTCACTTCCATCACTGAAGGTCTCCAGCAGGTACAGCTACTCACAAATGACTATAACACTTCAGCGGTACGTTCAGTGCTGTGACCTTCACTTGTAAATCCCTGCAGATTGTCACCATGGGGTTGTTTCGGACCATCGCCCTCTTCTACTTGGGGAGCTTTGACAGCATTGTGCGCCGCTGCATGATTCAGAGGGAACAGTCCAAAGCAGCTGACAAGAGAGAGTAATAGCAGCCTTAAAGTCCTAAAGGTTCCTCCTCCACAGCCTCCTTATCCAGTCCTCAGTCATATAAATGCTCAACCATAGGGGGGAGCAAAAGGTCAAGTCATGAGCTTGAAATCCACTTCAGAGATCAGCTTGGAAAAGTAGCATATTAGCTTTTCTATTGACACAAACGCTCATTTAAATTTTCTGTGTTCTGAGCGCATTTAAAGAACTTTGGTTCTATGTGAGTTCCTACTTCAGTGTGAGAGCTGCCTTATTCGAGGGGAATGAGGGCAGACTAAACAACCCCCAGTTTTGTAATAGGTGTGTCTTTTTGAACCACTTGTACCAGACATAACTCGAAATTCATTACCACCAGGAGCTATAGAGGGGAAACGGGAGGTAGCGCTTACTTTTAGTCATCTTGTTGCACGTATTTCAAAACAATCCACTTTTTACAAAGGAGTTTTACAGTATTCACTAAATGATCTGTTAGCGTGTTTGTACCACGAGTCTTTGCAGGCAAAGCACTTCTCACGCTGACTGAATAGCTTCTGTTTGAAACAGGTTGTGACCCTCTGTGTTTACTTTCTGCTGTGGAACGTTCGAATTGCGTCTGAACTAAGCTGTGAAGTGATGCAACCACATTCTTTCTAATCAGAGTGAGCGGTTGTTGTGTTTATATATAATTTCCACCTAATGATAACCATACTCATCCATTTTACATGCAATGTTGGGGAGAAAGAATTGTGTATGTGAATGTGTTTGTTTCTACTGTGACTGAGCCGACCTGCAAGGGACAGAAAAGCCATTTGATTTGTTTCGATTACAACAACACTAAATTATAATTCAGTTGTTCTGCTGGTCGTTCCAGGCAGAAGGCAGGCACTTTGAGTCGAAGTCACATGGTTGAGAGAAAAACCAGCACAGGATTTCACATTTCACCCCGCGTTCGATCGTTCTTATCGCCGTTAAAGGGCGTCAACGCTCGCATTCAGCCACACCAGATAAGTTCCTGTCAGGATTGTGTCAGGAGGCTTGCTGGTTCGAGCCTCGTCTCTTTAGGTCTACATGTTTTAAGTAAAGGTCCAAATATTTTCAGACGTTCCCAAAAAAAAAAAACATCTGTCCAGCCTTGAAAAGTCACATTTATCAGATGACTCTTTTGCATTTTTTGGGACAGAAGAAGTACATTTTTGATTTCTACACGTTTTTCCCTTCATTCCATTTTCCAAGAATGTACTTAAATGCCAAACATGCAGATCAGGACAGGATTAATATCAGATACATTACCGGCTGAATGCCAAAATGTGTTCAAACTATCTGTAGATGCGATGCAGTTATTTGGTTTTCTTTGTTAGCGTCGCTGCTCTGTTGAGCAACGTTAAAGCCGTAACAGCTGATAAATTTAACGCTTTGAGAATGAAGCTGTTGATAGATCGGTGTGACTTTAACCACACGTTAATGACTTCTCCCAAGTTTTTTTTGTGTATTAGTCTGTTTTTACAACAAAAAAAACCCCACTTTATTTAATCTAAGATATGAAAGTGAGAATGTTTGATTCATGTCTGATGACGTTCTCATTTGATTTTAGTTAAAGGTAGCGGAGAGCTTTTTGTTATTGTACATTTAGATATTTTCTTCTTCCATCCTGAAGTAGCATCTTTTAGTTTAAAGAATATGTAGCTGATTAAAACGAGTTTTGTTCGAACACCGTTAGGCTATGCAACATGAAGCTTGTGTTTGAACATGCAGTCAAAACTGAAGCTAGTTTGCTCCTGTTTAATAGTTACCTGTGCTCAATTAATTTAAAGGTACTCATTGCAAAGTCACGACCAGTCAAAGTATAAAGTAATAAAATCTGTACATTATATTTTTCATATTGCTGGTTTGTCCTTAAACCTGTGATTTACACCTTGTTCTTATTTCTTTGGCGTTTAGTTCTACATAAGAACTTTTTGGACTCTGCTTGTCCGATCCGCCATATTTGTTGACGTACACAGACCACAGCCAAGCTACTGTAGGTCAGTCACGTGATTTTGTTTTTTTTACTGCGAGTGCGTACCTGCATTTCAGAGGTGCATGGAAACCTACTGGAGTAAACTCAAACTGCACCGTTTGACAGTTCTGGATAACCCTTTTTACGTCTGATGTCATACTTTGCAGTGGTACCTTTAGGAAATTGAACATGAAAAGTCATGTGATTGATTTCATTGAGTTTCGTAATTTTAGCGCCAAAACATTAACACCTTCACCTTGTGTGCCATCGAAAGAACATGTGAGAAGTGGAACGTTTGTTTTATTTTCTTACATGATAAAATAAACACCTGAAAAAATAATAATCCAGGTCTGTTTTTTATGTTGTTTATTTGGAGATGCTTGTAGCTTTAAAAAAAAAAACATCTGCAGTGTTTTATTGCAAAGTTGGAAATTATCCACAAGGTGGTGGATCATTTGACTGAAATCAGATTTTTACCTGGAACTGGTTAAAAGAAAGCAACGTGTTGGAGAAGAGCAGCATGCATTACATGTTTAAAAAAAACAAAACAACATAAATATATTAATGGTGCTGTGACGTCAGAGCGCAGCCCACTAGTGGGGTGGGCAGGGAGCTGCAGGAGAACGATGAGGAGCGCGCGCTGAGGAGAGCTCCAGTTCGACCTGGTTTGGCTCCCAGTCCCGGGTCTGACAGAACTGGTGGCGGTTATCAAAGCCCCCCCACCTTTGTGTTAGGGGGTGTCCAACTTTTCTCTTCCATTCATTTCCCCGCAGCTCATCCACGCCTGGGCGATGAGCTCTTCCGCATACTGGATCTCTATCCAGGGAGAGAGAAGGTCGACTGGGTTCCTGCAAGGATTCGGGAAATGAACGGAACCAGGACATTTTTCTGACTTTTTCTCTTTTTTTTTTTTTTTCTTTTTTTTACGGTTTTCTCTGCGCCGTTTCTTCCAAGGTTATTTCAAAGAATTGTTCTCTTTCCTGCGAGGAATAAACATTTACTGTAAAAATTAAACCAGTTCTGGACGGGTCCTGCAGTCCAGTTTGTCTTGAAATGCATCGTTTTTAACGCGACGTCCGGTTCTGTTCGGGCTCGTGATGGAGTGTAATCGCTACATTGTGGAAAACTACATCAGCCATAAACTCTCAAAGCGCGGGTACGTGCGGGGCTCGGACCACCGCCGTGTCCGCGGGGATGCAGCTAATAACGGCTCGGTGGGGGACCAGTCCCCGACCCTGGTCCGGCGGTGCCGCGACGCACGCGGAGGAGGAGGAAGAGGCACGGGCCCCCCGGACGACGAGAGAGACCTGGTCCTCAGCGAGGGGATTTCCCCGTCCGAGCTGCTCGCGCACGTCGACAGGGTCCTGCGCGAGGCCGGAGACGAGCTGGAGCGGCTCTACCAGCGGGACTTCGAGGACATGTCGCGGCAGCTGGGTCTCGCCAGCGCCGCGGCCAGGTCGCGCTTCGCCGAGGTGATCGACGAGCTGTTCCGGGACGGGGTGAACTGGGGCCGGATCATCGCCTTCTTCGAGTTCGGAGGGACGGTGTGCGTGGAGTGCGCGTCCAGGGAGGAGATGACCGCGCAGGTGGACCGCATCGCGGAGTGGATGACGGAGTATTTAAATGGACCTCTGAGCAGCTGGATAGAGGACAACGGGGGATGGGTAGGTCCTGCTTCCGTCTTTTGCGGTTCTGTGTGCCTCTGGGAGCGTGTTTGGGTTTAATGGTTGAACATATTTGAACTAAAACACCTGAGACCAACGTGACCATCGTGGTTTGGCTGCATGTTGAACGTACACGTGAGGTCGAGAATTAATTAAATTATTTTCAGGCTGTGCCTTTGACGCGAGGGCTTCTTGAAGAGGACGGCCTTTTAAAGCGGCTCTGATTGGCTGGACGACTTGGCAGTCAAAGTTTCTCCAACCAATCAGCTGAGAGCTCTCTGTCACACCTCCCGACGCTCTGACAGAGGCCCCGCCCTCTGAGCTGAACAGCCACTGACTGACTGACAGCTGTCAGACTGAAGGTTGCCCTATGTGCAGATATTTAAGAGGAAATTAAAGAAAACTGAACGAAGCAAATCTGTTTACTTCCGGTTTTATCTCCATTTGAAGTGAAAAGAGCTTCAGTGCAGCTGTCACATAAATACACCATTCTTGCAGGGCAGGAGGGTGCCAGACAGGAATCTGTTGCCCTGATGTGTTAAAACCTCTGGGCATAGCTAAACAGAATCCCTTCATGCACTTCTTAAAGATATATGAACCCGTTATGCGTTCTTGTCCTGTTGGAACTCATGTTTGCAACAAATTCAGCATCTATTAAACCAAACTTTTGATGAACTGGGCTGTAATTAGTGCAGGGTTGTCATTATGAGAACATGTATGCTGCATCTTAACTGGAAGCGAAGGCATAAAGTGCGTGTTTGAGAGGGAGAAGCAGCAATGATTCATACTGAATGCTTCATCTCAAGCGATGGCACCAGTTAACATTCCTCTTGAGTCTTTCTTGCTCCCTCCATGGGGTGGAAGGTTGTGCCACATATTAAAAGCAGGCAGCTGAGGGAGGGCCCTCCAGGTGCAAGAAGTGCTAATCTGCAGCCACTCTGTTCTGTTGTGCATCGAGGTCGGATCTCCTTTTGTTCCATATTTTTCCAAACTTGTTTCTTGACGCTCAGAGCTGACCGGGCTGCAGAGATGCTTGCACAAACTCCCCACTGCACAGCAATGTAGGTCATCATAGTCTGTGTTTCACAGCTGGGTGGAGATGACTGTCTGCTGCAGGGAGACTGAGAGCAGCATCCTTTAATCCAAGGGAATATTTAGGGATTATTAAAAGGCTTATGTTTGCAATTTGGGTTAATGTTGATGGATTTCTGTTCATAGTCTAGATCAAAATCATTTTCCACACACGTCCACAAAGATCCACGCCAATAATGCTTTGTATTTATTTGAATGGCCGACAGGTAGGGAATCCCCTCAGGTGTTTGTTTCAGTTATTACATGACCTTTAATAACAGAGACACATGCACCCTGAGCCTCGGATAAGGTTTCTGAAATCCAACTTCTCCATTTTTATTACTTCTTTGGCTGGATTTTTAAACACAATAAGTCACGGTTTCATTCAGGATGAAATGAAAATGTTATTTTTGTCCAGGCTACAATGTTTTATTTTAGTTTTGTGGCTCCCCGTCAAGACTTTTATTGCTTCATAAATTCATAAAATTGCAAAACTTCCTCTCAGAACCAAAAACTAAAACAAGCGACGTATCAGATTATCAAATTCAACAAAAGTCTTACAAAGCTATTGAGACAGAAAAGTTTAAACTTACTTTTCGTTTCTTGTTTAGATGTAAAGAGTCATTCAATCTGTTACATCTTTAGTTGTAGATTATATTTTAACACCCGCAGGATAAAAACAATAATGTGACCTCAGTGTCCTCACAGTGTGGACAGAACAATGGCTGCCATTGTTTGGAAATAATCTGGTCTATAATTGGGTTTCATAGTGAAAGCTTCGAGTTAGTTGAGTTGAAGGAAATCTAATCTGATGTTGGGCTCTGCTCGAGGGGTTGATCCACATGGGGTGGGGCTTGTCTATTTATTTTTAAGATTATATAAGTATAAGCGCTATATGTTGTCATCATTATGAAATTGGTTCTCTACATTTAACCCATCGCACCTGGGATATACCCCGGTGGAGCAGTGAGGAGCAATTAGGGATTGGGTGTCTTGCTCAAAGGCACCACAACATGTGGGAATGGCTGGGAGTCGAACCGCGACTTTCTGGTTCCAGGTGGGCTGCCCTACCTCTACTCCATCTCAGTCCTCCTATAGGTCATGTATCTGTCATCTGCAGGTGGTTGGATTCAGTTTTTTCTTATTATTATGGTTTTATGTGTATAAAAATGCAAGATATTCAGAAAACGTATACATTTAAAGGGGTTGTACTTATGGATTGCTCTGTTATCGTGTGGTTGAGGTAAATGTGTTCTCCAACGTTCTGAAAGCAAAGGTGGGGACTGGTCGAGGGACGTTTTGACAGGTGTAGAAGGCGTGGAAACCACTGTCCATCAGCTCTCAGTCTCTGTTTCCTGACACAGTTTGAGTCTGAGACAGGAGTGTTCACTAATCGTTGTTTAGTCTACGCCTGGTGGTTGAGTCAAATATACCTTCAGTTAAACAAAATCCGTTCCTCAGACGTGACCGAGCACTAACTGTGTTTGTTCAACACAGCTAGGGATAAAATTGCTTCCATTCTGCTCTGATTACCTCTCACACCCTGAAGATGTGAATGGAGGGGATATTTTCGTCCCCAAGTATTCAGATCAAAATTGAAGGTGCGCTGAGAGAAACTGCATACAACTGGGCTGCAGACTCATTCACGCTCGGGACACCTGCGCTTGTTTATAGGCACGGGCACTAAATGCCAAGTGATTGAGCAAAGCAGCAGACGGCGTCTGACTCCTGAAATTACACGCTTGACCTGAGCCGTTTGACTAACTGCGGGGGCGCGTGGAACGAGAAACACCAAAATGGGCTTGGAGAGGAAAAGCTGCTGTCTCAGTAAAACAGAGAAGAGCTCAGCATCAGGAGAAACTTGTTTATTATCCAAAGAGAAATTACTCGGCGTTGATCTTGATAAATACGTTTTATCTTTCCTGTTTTTTATTTGTGTGGTTTTTTTGTGCCATGCACCAAGATGCCATTGCAAGTTGACTCACTGTGTCTGTCGTACATGTATCCCCCAAGGATGAATTAATTGCATGTCAGAAGGTTAAAGTTGTCATTCAAGTTGTGCATAAAGATTTCTAGATACATGGTTCCTAAACTGTGGTGCAAATACCAGATGTGGTTCTCAGGATCTCTATAGTACCGTATTTTCTGCCGTAAACGTCGCTCCACTCTATAAGTAAGTCGCATCAGTCCAAATATTTCTAATAAAGTGGAAAAATGCATAAATATGTTGCTTCACCGTATACTCTATTGTGCGTCACCACTGATGTGTCGTGTTTGGTACGCGTCACCTCTGACAACCCTGAAATATGGGCCAGTGTTGCGCCAAAAATCGATTGGCTGCCAAATGGCGACCGCTGGGGCGCGCACGTGAGGACATTAACAAGAATTTAACAAGATTTACACTTAAAAACAATTATTTGTTTGCTCGAAATTATAGTAAAGGTGTGTCTTAGTTGAACTTTTACTTGATAAATGCACTTTAATTGTCAGATTAGCTGCATTTTGCCAGGGCAGTGCAGCAAAATGAAGCTGGTTTGACGGTTGCTCCAAGCAGCGAGCAGAATGGAGGTGGGAGTCTATGGCAAGCCGATTGTGTCATTAATAACTGGTGAAGATTCTCAGTCATCCAGGACATGGTAAATTCAAAAAAGTTCGAGACAAAAACAATAAAGTATAATGTAAATATAATAAATAAATAAAGTCCAGTTGTTTTTCTCTTGAACTTTTTAGAATTTGTCATTATAGCCACTTTTACCTATTACATGATACAACGGCATGCCTCACTACTCTGGTTGGTGCCATCTAGTGGCTGAAAAATGGTAGTGTTCAATTTTTTCAGTCAGAATGAGTGAAAACAGTCATCTCAACCAAGAATTGGTTTATACATATGGGAAAAAATCCATAAAAATGTCACTTCGGCCTATAAGTCGCAGGGCATGCAAATTCTGCAAAAAAACAAAAAAAAAAAACGTGACTTATACAGCAAAAAATATGGTACACAAATGTCAAACTTAAGGCCCAAGGGCAAAATATGGCCCTTGTTAACATCTTATCTGGCCCCCAAGATAATATTTTAAAAGTAAAATATTTTTATTGCTTCTGATTTGCCTAAAAACGGAACATACTTTATTTAGCACAGACTTCTCATGACAGCTGGCTAACTCTAAAGCCAATAAAAATTGGTTTGAATGTTCTTGTATTCTTTGATACTGATGCGAAAAGAGCATCAGAGGACGTCAGATGAGACCGATCAAACTCTTGTTGAGAAACCTGCAAGAGAGAAAAGACTGAAGTTAATGCATCAACTGAAGTTGACCTCTGGTTTGAGATAAGTTTTTAATTTTGGCCTCCTCTAACCAAGTCTGATACCCCTGCTCTAATGATACTCGGAAAAAAACTGGCATCAATTTACAAATTAAACAACTAACTAAAGTTAACTAGCCATCATTAGCTAAAATATTAGAGAGCTAAACTGCAAGTTGTTTGGCTCCAAATGGAAACTACTTGAAACAAGACTGCAGTGGAGGATATTTTGAGAACCCTTGTGAGGGAATGGGGATAAATCAGTGTGCTACTTGAGCAGGGGTGTTGTTCTCAGCAACAAAATGCATGGAACCATCACATCCTAAACCACGCCTTTCAACCAGCATTAGGTGTCAGTTCAAGGACTAAAACAGTTTGGGGTAGGGAGTCAAAGGCAAGGCACAGACCAGCACCGTGTCAACCAAGATCTCATCTTCTTTGATTAGGCCTGTTCAACTTGTTTCTTTAGAGATCAAATCATCTTTAGGGTTTTTTCTTGTTAGAACTTTGGGGCACATCCTCAGTAGCGGTCTTCAAGTTTTACCACTAGACCACCTCACCCAAGGAAGGCCCAACCTAATCAGGCCTTTGCCAACTCGGTTTGTTGAGGGGTTTAGTTAGGATAA